CGTTCATGGGATTTGAACTCTAGACCTGCCACTTGGGGGTTGACAACCTGACCACTTCACTAAGTCACCACACCCCTTATATTGTATTATTTAAACTACTACAAAGATATGTATTGATAAAATAAATTAATAGGTATATGTATTAAGACAATATTATTAGTATGTTGTATTAATATAGTAAATTAATAGATTATAATAAATTCTCTATAGTAATAATGAGAAGGTTTCTTCTTGGTTTATTCTATTTTGTACTGTGTAAGATTATGTTAGTTTAATATTTGCAATAACTAAATTTTGTTAGCTATTAAGAGTAGATTTATTATTGAAGTAGGAATATGTATTTGCTGAAGTGTTTTGATTAAAAAGAGAATATGAACTGTATCATAAGCTTTAGACATGTCTTGCACTAAGATTCAGTATTGGTTTTTTGTTATATTAGCATGCTCTATTATATAGAAGACAGTTTGAATAAGTTAAAGAGTCAAGATAAATAGAAGGACAACATTGTTGTTTGCATTTAAAACTAAGTATTGAGTAAGAATCTTGTTAAGTCAAAGAGTAATTATTTTAGTAAAGATTTTTTTGATATATTCAATTAATGTAATTGGATGAGTATAGGTAAAGTCATTGTTGTAGTACTGTTTTTTTAAAATTGTCTATAACTTTGCATGTTCTTAACTGCTTGATGTTTTTTTATTAAAAGACATGCATTAAAAATATTAAGTAATATTTGTTTTGCTACTTTAGATAGATGTTGTAACATTTTGTTAGATATTTCAGAAGGTTTAGTAGCTTTGTGAATCAGTGAGAAGGTTTTAGTTCTAGAATTATTATTGGTTAGGACAAGCTATTATATATGTTAGGATTAACATGTAGTAGAAGTTGAAAAAATTATACTTATTCATGTTCAAATTTAGAATTTGTTGAATTAAATTTGGTTCAGTTATTAAAATATTCCTTTATTATTTATTTTATTTTTTTTAAGTTATTAATTATTCTGTTTGATGTTATAATTTTATCAAATGAAACTTGATCTTGATTGTGTTTAAGTATACAGTTTATTATTTATAATATGTTAGTCTCTATATCATTATATCTTCTTTAAATATAAAAATTAATTTTTTTCTTTTTAAGCATTTTGAATTTCAAGACTTTATGTTTTTATAAAGTTTTTTTTAGATGTTTCAAAAACTGCTAAAAGGAATAATAGTTGAATATAATATCTTGAGTTTGACAAGAATTAATAGTTTGGTCTATATAGAAGAATATTTGTTGTAATAAATTATTAATGTTTTATATAACAGAGTTAATTGAGATTAGAGGTTTAAAAATTTTAAGATTATTAAGACATTTGTTTGTTAATTTAAGTGCTAAATGTAATTTGGTTGCTTTAAGAGAGTAGAAGTAATATATTTTAGATGCAGTATAAGTTTTTGATATAGTTTGATTTGCAACTTTTTTAATTAAATTTAACTATTTGTTTCAAATTTTGTTTAGTTGTTATATTAATGCAATATTCTATATTGAAAGTATTAGTTTAAAATACTTCTTATTTATCTAATATTTGGTGATAAAGAATATTTTTTTCTTTTTTTTGATTGTAATAGTTTTAGTTGAAAGTTAGTTTTTTATGCTAAAAGTTGGTTTTTTATATAGTAGCAATTATTTTGTAGTCACTGTCTGTAATATTAACTAGGTTGATAATTGTAAGTGAGCTAAAGTCTAAAAGAATTTTAGAGTTAACCCTTATGTTATCTATTTGGCTTTGATTTAATCCTCTTTGCCATGTAGATTTAGATATTGTATAGAATTCTATTAAACTAGTAAATAATAATGTTTAAAGTGTGCAAAAGAGATTTGATAATTATTTATACTAATTGTGGTTATTATTAAAGTTACTTATTGTAATTGTATATCAGTTATAGCTTCTTGCTTGTGATAGCCAATTAATTACTATGTTTTAAGATATATATTTTCATTTAAATGCTTATTTGGAAACATATTTTGTTATAGTTAGTTTAAACCCATATTTTGATTTATAGCAGTAAAGGTTAAATAATAGTTAAGTTACTAAAGAAATAATATTTAAAGCTAAAAATAGGTTATATTGCAGGTTGAATAAGTGAATTTGTTGATTGATTTACTGGTTATTGCATAGGCTAATTAGACATTTATTAGGTTAACATGTTAAGAAAAGCTATTATATTTGAAGCATTATTTTAATTCTGGTTTGAAATTTACTAGTTTTAAGCAATTAGCATATTGTTAGTTAAACAATTCCAAGAAATGTATCTAATTAGTCTATATTTATAACAAATAATATTATTAGATTAGTTTTAACAATTTGAGTTGTTTTATAATTTTAGTTGTTATTTTTTTTAATTATTAAAATTATTATTATTTAGATTAAAGTTTTTAATTATTTGTATTAAAGTTCCAATAAGCTGAGATAAGTTATTAAGCAGAATGATTGTAGTTTATTATTGCAGAAATAGAATTATTTGAAGCAGAATAATTGTAGTTTATTATTGCAGAAACAGAATTAATATTAGTAGAATAAAACTCTGTAAGAGCTTCAAAATATGCATCATTATTTTCTTCTATTTGTCTTGCTGCTTTAATAGTTTGTTCAAGAGTTATATTGTTTTTAAAAATGAAATGAGGTTTTAACTAATAGGCAATTTCATATTGAAGACTTTTAGTAAATTTATAAACTTTATTAGATTCATTTTAATTATAAAGCATTTAATATTTAAAGCATTTTGATCAACAATTTCATTTGCTTCTTGCATTTTATTTTTTTTTAGTTTTAAGGACAACTTTGTCTGTATATCTTTTATTATTAGTAACATATAATTATATTTTATATACAAAGTCTATCAATAAAAATACAACTAGCAACATATATAACTTTAGTTATTATCTAATTAAGAGTTTTATTTATAGATTACTCACTAGATGCTATACCTAAGATTTGCCTTTAGGTTACTTATTTAAACTTTCTGATTTTCAATACTTATTTGCATATATATGCAATACTTTATATTATTATTATTATAACATAATAGATTAGAGCTATCTAATTACTATTTATATTAAAGTACCATCTTATTGAATGTTACTAAGTATCCATAGTCTTTTAAATTTACTTTTGATGTAAACTTATTAAGTATAGTACCAAGATTACCTTTTAGAATTTTATTCAATTTTAGTGTATTTCATATCTACTAAAACTGATTTAGTATCAAAGGTGTTTGAATTTTAGTAAGTTTATTTTTTTTCTATAGTTTTTTTTTTATATTTATTGTATTACCTACTAGTGCACCTTCTTTTTATTTTCAATATGTTCACTGTTTCTCTTATATTGAGTGCCAACTCATTATATTAAAAACTTCTTTCTGAAACTTTCTTATATACTGATCTTCTATTCATATAGACTTAGACACAGAACTTTGTATACATTTATATTCTTTTATAGATTACAGAGTTTTTGCTTCTAGCTAAAATTAAATTATTAATCTTGTCTGTGAAGAAGAAGACATCTAGATTACTAAACTATAGAATCTAACTTCTGCTTTTTGCATTCTATTTGTAGTTTACTTCTTTATTATAAAAGTTTTTCTTAGATATGAAACTTATTTGTTTAAAGTTGTAAAAACTCTTTTTAGTTTATTTTTAGAACTTATAAAAATATAAAATTTATAGCAAAATAAAACAGTTTACTTTAAAAACTCAAGTAAAGAGAGATATATAACTTTCAAAAAATATAAACTACTGTTAACAGTTATAAGCAAGCTTCTATATAAGAAAGTAGAGTGGAAGCACAGAAAAATTTTTGGGCATGCTTCTCTATATCCAGGAATGCCCCTCCATGCTCAGGCATACACCTTTTGAATTAGAAATACAGAATTTATATGATATGAATTTGTAAATTATGCATACAATATATATTTTACTAATGATTAAAAATTAAATAATGTTTTACTTAATTTTATCTTGTTAATTTTTAAATACTGCATACAACTAATGATTTTTTTAAACTGTGCCTAATTTAAATACTGTACTTAAAGCCAAAACTAAATTTTTAAAAACTACATCTAATTTAAATACTATTACTAAGCAATTTTTTTTAATAAAAAAAAAAATTGCTAATTTATTTAAAGATTTGTTAATGCTAACTCCTATATTTGCTAATGCCACCTCTTTTATATAAATTTTTTTTTTTTTTTTTTAAATATTAAGATGAGTACATGTGATCTAGAATTTTACTGATAGTATAAGTTGGCTAGCATCCGTACATGTACAAACACAGAGGCAATTACAGAAAGAGTGTACAACTAGCCACTTGTACAACTTTAGTTATTGTCTAATTTAAGTAGTCCA